ATTACATCAATACAATCATAAAGAGCTATGTGAAGAATGAGTGAGTTGAGAGCGCGGGTATTTCTTCTTTATTGACAGTCACTCTCTGTCCCAAACCACAACTACATACTAAGATGCGAAAAATAAATAACAAAAGTATTATAAACATTTTTAAAACAGAGGTTTTCCGAAGAATCTTCAATATTTCTTTTCGATTTATGCAACCTACATTCTAATAAAAGTACAGGTTTAGGTTTATAAGCATTGTATTATTGTATCTCAATCACTTGTTTCTACCAGTTTGACCCACACTTCTTTGGGTGTGATAGCCGTTCGTTCACAGATGTTAAATTTGCCTTCGAGGTTTTCACCAGGCAGAATCGTATACTTTCGAAGTAGCTGTACTAGTAGAAGTTTTATCTCCATCAGTGCAAAGCGCATACCAATACAATGTCGTGGACCTGCTCCAAATGGCAAATAGGCCATTGGATGACGTTTTATTTTATGGCGTTCAGGAAAGAAAACGTATGGATCTTCAGGACCCCAAAGTTCACGATCATAATGAATTGAATAGACATCAGCATGCACTAAGCTACCTTAAAAAAAAATAAAAGACATGTAATTTAAGAAGACACCATCTGATAAGACTCTCATGAAGTCGATGCTAAAATCGGAAGTACCTTGCCTTCTCAGTTCTAATTTTCATACGTAGATGTTCTCATAGTTCCATATAAAATGGTTGTAGATCGAAAGAGGGTTTTTGAACAAGTGAAAAAATTCAAAACGGAAAACTTTTAGATTATGATACAGTTATTGTGAATCATCTCATACATAAAAGATCGAAGTCTTGGGTACTATAAAAATGTATACTTGCCCTTTTCAATGGTAATTCCTTGAACAACTGTATCTTTGGAGGCACATCTTTGAATGAATATATTTCTAATAGGATACATTCTCAAGACTTCAGAAATGAACATATCCATATAAGGCATCTGCATGACTAAATCATAATCGGGATATTTTTTTCTTTCCTTATCGAATTCATCATCATTATTGAAGGGAAGTTGGTTTATTTCATCTTGCAGTTTCTTGACAACTTCTGAATGTCTAGCAAGCTCATATGCTGCGTAAGCCAGAGCAGTTGATGTTGTTTCATATCCTGCTGCCATAAAAACAAGGATATTAACGATTATTTCTTTCCGAGTTAGCCGATAGTTTGCCTTGTCATCGTTTTGCACTTCGTCCTACAAATTCAATGTATATATTTAATAAGGTTATAACTAACGCAAGTTTCTTTGACCGAATGGAAAACTTTTTATTGTTCGCTATATTTCAACTTAGAGATCGTAATAGAAGTTTCAATGTAATTTTTTTCTATCATTCGAAAATTTTAACAACGCCATGAATATACTAGTGCATCTCATTGTACTCAGTTTCCTACGTCAAGTAAAAGTGAAATACTTTGAAAAAATGAGTAATACCACAACCAGACGTCAGTTTGATCTTTCTGAGAATAAGTGATTTTTTCTTTAAAAGCAATCAAAAGCTCGAAAATTTCTTATCCAGATCTCCATTACAAAAGCACAAAGTAATCACTCTTCAGAAACATGGCAAGTCTGTTCAGCCATACGATATCTCACAATCTCTATTTCTCTGTAGTCTTTTCAACAAGTGATACTTTACTGGAAATTATCGATACTGCTAATATACTCAAAGTAAATTACTATACTAGAAGATACTTTTTAACTTCTATAGATTTAAGTATACTTACGTTGATTTTTTCGTCAGTCATCACTTGTAACATCAGTTGCAAAAGGTCGATTCGTGAAGTAGGTGTCTGCTGTCGCTGCTCGATAATTGGATGTAGTCGACTGAAGAGCCAAATATTTGGTGGTTCATATAGTTGTTTTATTGAGATTAGTGGTAAAAGATATTTATTGATTAATACTCGTGCGATGTTTGCGCCAAAAACGACTTTATTAAGAATATTTGCTACGCGAGGCGTAAGTTCACCAAGTCGGAAGAGCCAACGCGCATTAATACTGTGGGCAAAGAGTTCTTCCACTTTCTTGAAATATATATTGTCTGGATTGTTTTGTAAATCAATGTCAATTCCAAATGCGCATCGGCCTGAAGATCATCAATAATGATAGCTATTAGGATATTATCATAAGAATCCTGAAAGTGACTATAAGATGTGTAGGTATTCTGTTGATCAATAACTACACACTTACATCCTCAAGACGATAATTGTCATCACTATATTCAATTATATATTTAATGAATTCTGACAAAAATGAAGGAGAGCTCTTTTCGAAATACTTGCAGAAACCATAAAGTCTCAAAAATCCATCAGCAGATTTCACGAATTACAAAAGATGGAATAGTTTTTTGGACATACTCTGATATAATTTCAAGGCGGTAAAAAGGTCTCAACCATCTTCTATATTTGCTTGAATAAGATCAATTGTGAAGATATTCATACTATTAGAATGTGGCGCAGACGTTTAGCTAACCGACCTTGGACAGGCCTATCAAGCTATAAAATTTTATAGAAGATCTTGAACCTTACGAAGTATAGATTTCTCTTCTTTACCAGCACCCACACTCATCAAGTAAACCGGAGCAAATTCGCAAACTCATTACTAGTACTTACATATCACATCCATTGTCAGTCGCTTATAATATAAGTAGATATTGAATTCATTGCCGTTTTTTACATGAGCGTCTAATTTTTCCATTAGATTATCAATGCACCCATTGATAAGAGGACTCATCATTTTTAATTTCGCGGCAGAGAACGTTGGATTTATGACCTGACGATGTCGACGCCATGGTGTACCCGATGATGAAAATACGTTATGAACACCAATACCTTTGAGAACTTCTCTTCGCCCTTGAAAAGCAGCAAATTGTTTGACAAAAACTTCCTGAAGAAAATCAGGATCGCTAACAACAAAGGTAGGAGTAGTTCCTTGATAAATTCCATATATTTTGCCATATTGCTTTGTCCAACTTTCCAGTTGACGATGAAAAGCCGGAGTATTCCATAAAGTTTTCAGATGTCCAAAGAAGAAATGGAAAGGTGGAGTAGGAATACCACGTCGACTAAAGTATCGATAAAGTTGCTGTAGTAGAAAAAAGTAATAACTCAGAAGACCAATGCAAATGAGAAATAGAACCATAGATAAAGTCGACATTTTATATACGTTTTACCTCAATACTATTGATGAAGAAAATAACGCTAAAGTAAAAAAAAACGTGGCTTTTTATACACATCGACCACAAACAGACTGCTTTCTTTCATTCGTCGCTCGATGAAGTAAGAGATATGGTTGCCAGCACTAGTTTATTTGATGAATCATAGATGTCCTTTTGGTTTCTTCAGAACTTGTAAGAATGGCATACTTTGAGTTCGTTCTGTTTCTTTATTATCTTAAACTTTGATTGAGAAGGAACGAACACCTAGAGTCTATAATTCATAAGTGCACGAACTCGTCCTTTTCTTTCGCAGTATCTTGAGACGAGACACTTAAACGTTTTATAGTTTCAATGATTATTTATGAAATAACTGCCTTTTATGAACATCGTTGGCACCTGTCAAATTTTATTTTTTTCCTTTTTTTTGCTAGATTGATAGAGCGTTTTATGAAAGAATTTCTACTTTTCTCTTTATTCGTAAAACATTTGTGAAATATCTCTGAGAAATGAAAGAAAATTTTAAAAATGCTCTCCTATTTTTAATTTATTTTTCTTTTTCCTTATGTCATAGTCTCGAAAACGATAAAAAAATGACGTTTT